ACAGCCACCCGCGGGGGGATTGGTGGGGGGCTCCAACACCCAGGTTATCCCTGCCAGAGCACTGGGACCATTGGGGCATCCACACCTGGAGTGTCCTAACCTGGGGGCACTGGATGCACTTGTAGGCACCCACAGCCTGGAGACATCCGCCCCAGGGCAGGGCACCCGGCTCATCTGGGGCACCGAGCATCCCTGTGGGCCCCACGAGGGGCCGTGGCTGCGGGACACGGCACAACCGGGACGGGTGGTGAGTGCGAGGGAACATTTGGGCTGAGAAATCACCGCAGGGATCTGCCCTGGGGTGGGGTCAGCCAGGCCCTGCTCCCCCAGTTCTGCCTGTGCCGGCAGCATCCACAGGCAGCAGGAGACACTCACTGTGCTGGTGCAGAGGTGGCACAAAGGATGCAGCCTAAGGGCTGGACGTGGACAGCTCTGGGGAGGATTTCAGTGCAGCACAGTTGATAACATAGAATCCCAGCACGGTCTGGGTTGAAAGGGACCTTAAAGCTCATTTCATTTTGCCCTCTGCCATGGCAGGGACACCTTCCACTATCCCAGGCTGCTCCAAGCCCCATCCAGCCTGGCCTGGAACATTCCAGGGATGGGGCAGCCACAGCTTCTCTGGGCAATCTGGGCTAGGGCCTCACCACCCTCACAGTCAGAATTCCTTCCTCATATCCCATCTAACCCAGATGAAGCCATTCCCTGTGTCCTGTCCCTCCATCCCTTGTCCCCAGTCCCTCTCCAGCTCTCCTGGAGCCCCTTCAGGCCCTGCAAGGGGCTCTGAGCTCTCCCTGGATCCTTCTCTTCTCCAGGTGATCTTCTCCAGGTGAGCACTCCCAGCTCTCCCAGCCTGGCTCCAGAGCAGCCCTCAGAGCATTTTTGTGGCTCCTCTGGACTTGCTCCAGCACCTCCACATCCTTCTGATGCTGGAGGCCCCTGAGCTGGAAGCAGCACTGCGAGTAGGCTCTGCTACAAGAGCAGAGTAGAGGGGAATAATCCCCTCCCTCAGCCTCCTGCCCACCCTGTTGGGCACACAGCCCATGCTGTGTTTGGCTTTCTGCTCCACAGGGAACTTGCCCACTCCCACCTCCTCCATGTGGACCAGCATGGGAGTGAACACACTTGTCCTCAGCTGCTGTTTGCCCACACTTGTGATGCCAACAAGCTGCTGGAATCAACCTGACTCTGAGGCCACAGCCCAGTGCTGCTCTTTGGAAGACACGTGGCACAGCACTCAAAGATCAGCTGATTAAACTGGAAATGTGGTGGTCACCAGAGGGACAAAATCTGGCAGGATGGGAAGGGAACTGAGCCCCAGATTGTATCTGCAAGAGGAGATTTTGGGAGAGCACTGATATTTCTGCACTCAGGGAAAACCAGTGGCCATCCAGGTTTGTTGCATTCACAGGAGCCAGCAGGATTTGCTCTTCATTCCTGACAGTGGGAAGAACACTCAAAAACGAACCAATTTTTCAGTTTCCAGGCATCTGATATGTACCAAAGCCATGTGTTGTTGTGCTCCCATTGATATGCTGATACTTAATTCCTGAGTGCCTCCTCCAACACTCTGTGACTGCCTCCCGTTGGCCTCTTCCCTGTGTTTACAGCATCAGAAGGAAACATGTAATTTTGGCTCTCTGAAGTGCTGGCTCTCTCACATGGCAGACAGCTGAATCCTGCCCACCCCTGCCGGGCACCACAACCACGAGGAGCTCACTCAGCTTTGCAGAAGCTGCATTAGGATTTTTATAACTAATCCCTGAGATTGCACGTGCCTGTTGCTGCTTCGATGTATCAGAGAAGAGACAGGTGTTGTGAGGAGGGATTTCTTACAGTGGACACTTTCTGAGGGGTTCAGATAGGTTGAAAGAGGAGATTAAAAGAAAAGCAGCTGGGAAATGGACAGGGGAAATAAAAATAAAAAAATAAAAAAAAGAGGATGGAAAAGGAAATTTGTTAATTTGAAAGTCTGATTAAACTGGGATGAGCTCAGTTCTGTTTTCCTCATTCCCTTTGAGAATTGCTGCTAAGGTCAAGCTTGTACTTTCCCATTTACTGGCATCTTCTCCTTTTCTCTTGCCATCATGGCATGTGGTATCTCAGTGAAAGAGGAGCGGAGAGGTTTGATCCTGTGCTGTGCTGAGTGGATTGTCTGCATGAACTCCCAAGGCCTTTTCCTGCATTATTTCCTATGATCCCAAGTCAAAGGCTTGATCTTTTGTCCAGAGAGTGACTCAGCATTTGTTCATTTTCATCCATCCCTTCTCTCCACCGATTCATCCTTCCTTTATTTTCCCAGTTGAAAACAGCCCTCCTTAGGAAGCATCTTTACATTCTTGCTGCCCGAATCACAAAGAGCTGATTTTACAGCACAACGTTCATGCACTGGAAGGATTCTTGAGGAAAAACGATGCTAAATGGAGGAAAGACAAAAAGACAAAATACCCCACAGAGGGAGAGCACAGCTGGCGTTCAACACCGCGAGACACAGCGCAGAAAAGGCCCTGGAATTCAGAGAAAACCTGGATTTAAATCCATCCTGCATTCCACTGGCAGGAGGAGTTTCATAATTTACCTTGATTCGAGTGTCCCACTTACCCAGGCAGCATTTCCAGTTGCTTTTCATATCCCCGGCCCTTCGCAAACAGAAACCGGGCGCGTTGTGCAACGCTTATGTAAGAGGTGCCAAAGGGACGCTGCCAAGGCTCTGCTCTTGCTCAGGTGCCACCACAGGCTCGCTGGGACTTGCTGCCGAGGAAAACGCTGCCATCCACATGAGTTTTCCTTGGAGAAGGTGCTTCCTGAGCCCCCAGGTGACAGATCTGTTCTTGCAGTGGTTATCCGAGGTTCTGGGATGTGTTCGCTTCCTCCCCGCGGTTTTTATTATCGCTTCTGGGTTTTGCTCTTTCACTGCTTCTGCTGAATTGCATTGGATGTCAAATGTGTCTGAAGAGCATTGCAAGGGGATGTGTCCCTGGTGGTTACACTGCCTGGCAGGGATTCCTTATTCCAGGGTTAGGAGGCCTCAATTCCTTGGAAATACCAAAAAGGGATAAAACGGAATCACCTTTTTCCCCCGTCCCTGAAGCTAAAACCTTCCTGACATCTTTCTGGTTTGGTTGGGTTGGTTTTTGGTTTTTTTCTTCCTGAAATATTTTAAGTGAAGCAGATCTTTGTTGCTTAGGAAATCCTGCTATTCCTGCAGCTCCCATTTCTCACCCCGAACTGTGCTATGACCGCCTACATTTCCATGGGCTTTGCAGCCAAAGGAATTATCTTTGCTGCTTCTGTAAACACGATTGCACACTAGAGCTGCACAGAGGTATTTCACTGTGGAGGAGACAGAATTCCAGCAGTTAATTAAATGACTTGTTTAATCAATCAGTGTGGAGGTTCTTCCTTCTGGAAGATGCTCCGTAAACTAAAGGAACTACCTAAGAATAAAAAAAACCCATTGAGATAAAGAATCATTAGCCCAGGCCTGGTTTTACTTTGGTGGATGCCTTTGCACCATCTGCCTGTGATATTCTTATTTCTCTTTATTATTATTTTTCCAGAGCATGGTGGGGCCCCCCCAGGGAATGGCCATGTTCACAAGGCTGCCAGAGCTCCAGGAGAGCTCTCAGGCACAGGCTGGGGTTGTTGGGGTGTCTCTGCAGGGCCAGGAGTTGAACTGGATGATCCTCAGGGTAATTCCATGATTCTACAGTTTAGAGGTCAGCAAGGCAGAGGATCTCTCCTAAGCCAAACTTCCCATCTCTTTCCAATGCAGTTTTTAATTTGTCCCCTCTCTCCTGCACTGACAGATGGACACTATTGAAAACATCCTTCCTCACCAACCCCCTTTTTTTGTTTGCAACGTGGCTTTAGAGAGCCCAAGCCAAAATCTGTGTGTGCCAAGTTTGTTTCTAGGATTTCCCCCTGAAGATACACCTCAGCCAGGAAAAGGCTTCCAGCTCCTCTTGGCAGAACCAACCAAATCCACCTGTCTGGATGATTCAGCAGGATACTTGCAAAATGTTCCAGCCAGGTTTGTGCACCTGGAAATGGGGGAAGCAGCCGGGTTTCCAGGCAGTGCTCTGAATTTCCCTTTTTCATTCTGTTTTTCATGGAAATGGCCACATTTTCCTGCATCCTTGTGCTGAGCAGTTGCTGTCTGGTCTCACCTCTGCCCTCCTGTTCGTGCTGGTGGGAGGGAAGGGCATCCAGCTGGTTTCCTTCCTTTGAATGCAAAGAGCACAATCAGCTGCAAAGTCTCCTGAGATGCATCTACGTAAATGGGGTGACACAAATATAATGTATAGCCACAGTGCCCCTCTTCCTTCCGTGAAAAACAAATCCTTGCACACAGGGCTGAGCTGTGTCTTGTTCAATTCTCCTGCTCCTGCAAGAGACAAAAGGCTTTCCTCTCCCTTTAGTGTCTGTTCTCCCTCCCCAGAGCGTCTCAGCACAACCCCTGGAGAGATCCTCAGTCTATGGCAGACTGATGCTTCCTTGAGCAAGTGAATTCCCAAGTTGGACATAAGAAACATCCAACAGGCCTGGATATCTCCTCCTCTTGCTCTCAGCTGTGTTCTCTCCATCCATCTTGCCAGGATTCTCTCTCTTTCTGTTCTTTTTTTTTCCAAGCATTTTTTGTACTTGGCATCACGTGCCCACATCTGCTACCATGCCAACTGTCCCCCAAAGGGCCACTCCAGCAGCAAGAAACCATTCAGGATCCCACAAAATCTTCACTATCCCTCTTATTCTGGATTCTGATAACAGAGCAGGTGAAGCAGCATGAAACCAAGAAGCCTTAGGAGGTTCAGCATCCTGAACTGGGCTCAGGGGTGGAAAGCTGCCCACAGAAAGCCTGGGAATGGCTCCACTGCAGGCCCTTCACTTGTGGCCGTGGGTGAAGCAAGTGTGTGTTCCACTGGGGAGGAAAACCAGCCTGAACACAAACCACAAACTTTAAAAAAAATAAAAATAAATTTCAACTCATAGGGAAGGTGCTGTAGCAGCTGTGAATGCCTTCCACGTGAGTTTGTTAGACTGTATAAAATTAAAGATATTTTAGCAGTCAGGTAAAAAACTAGGGCTGAAGTATTTTCACTGTTTTTAAAACCACCTTTATTATCTCGTTCAGTTAGAAATTTCTACAGCTCTGCATCCACCGTTACCTGGTGAACCTCAGTGTCTCGTTAAAATAACCATGGCTGTTCTTCCTCCTCAGACCACAGCACAAACAGACCACATTCTCCAAACCCACGTAATGCCTTATGTAAAACCACTTAACATTCCTTTTAAGGCTGGGACCCGTTCAGATGGAAGATGCTGCATAAAAGCACATTCCTCAACACGCTTGACCAGACCCAGTGTGGTCTGGGGTGGAAAACGCAGCGTGTGCTCAGGAGTATGGGCCTGGCAAGGCACAGGGATCATGTCCTGCACTGACAACTCTGCACAACTCATTAGGATCATTAACAAATCATAAAGGTTGGGAAAGCCCTCTGAGACCATTGAGCCCAACCCTTAACCCAGCACTGCCATGGTCATTGCTGACTCATGTTCCCAAAATGCCACATCCACACCGCTCTTAAAACCCTCCAGGCATGGTGGCTCCATCACTGCTCTGGGCAAACAATGCCTGACCACCCTTTCCCTGAAGAAATTTTCCCTAATATCCAACCTCAACCTCTCCTGGCACAATTTCAGGCAGTTTCCTCATTTTTCTCCATTTTCCTAGTCATGAAATGGTAACAGTAATACAGTCCCAGTGCTGCCTTTATCTATGGACAGATGTGCTTCCAGCAGGGACTGAGACCCAGCTGGGAGAGGTGGATTAAAGCTCAGAACGCCAGATGGGCTCTGAGAGCTCACTCTCCACCACTGGCAAGATGGGATGAGAAACTGCACCTCCAGGTGGGAAGTGAAACTTAACCCTGCAGTGACTAAATACAGCAGCTTTTGCAGCCCCTTGGATCTGAGAGATCTTCCAGGAGGCCAAGCCTTAATGAACCATCTGCCACTGGAAAATGAAATGTCCTTTTTGCTGTGCTGTCATCCGATGGCTTGTCAGGAGCAGCAAGTCAGCAGAGTGAAAAGCAGCATCCCAACCCTTCAGCTGAGGAAGGGGAAAGAAAAAGGACACAAACAGCTCTCTATCGGGAGCACAGGAAGCTGATTTATGAGGGGAGAGGTAATTGCTTTGTTAAAAATCACTTGAGGAAATACAGCTCTCTAAAGAGTAAATAGTTTCTTCTTTGTTGGGGGTTCAGGAAAACATAGGTATTTATGTTGGAAAGGATGTACAGGATGCAGAAGGCTTGGAGAGTACAAGGGGAAGTTAAATGGGAATCTCTTTAAGTGAGCAGCTCTGAGCTCTCCTGTTCCTGGGAGGCAGGGCAGGTTATATTTTGCAGCCCAAAATGAGCCCATAAATAAATCCCAATAAACCCAAAGGCCACTCTGCAATTCCCAGGAATATGCACACATTGCCTTTGAGTTTAACCTAAAGCACCACAGATCCTAATGAATCCTGCTGTGGAGCCTGTGGTTCCAATGAAAATCTTATGCAATCCACACCACTCTGTCAGGTACTACATGTGGGATTTCTAAATGTAAGAGCAAGTTCAAAGCCCAGGCTCCATTTTAAAGAGAGGATCAGTGCCTGGCTGACTACATTGTCATTAGACTTTACTGGACCTGCCTGGGCTGTGTGGCTGCCAAAGCAGAATCTGTTGGGAAATAACCAATCCTGGACACCAGAGACTCCTACATCTGGCATCCATTTGATTTTTTTCTACCTAACTTCTGCAGACGTATTTCCTGCGCTGAGTATGTGGTAATTTTTACGCCTAGAAAATCACACCTCCTTTCAGGCCCTAATGATTCTCTGTGCAGCAAGTGCTACTGCAAATTCCAGCATTCCTCTACTCCCTAAACCCACCTTTGGGCTTCTTAAATTGTTCAGCATTAATTTCAGAGACCATGGGTGAGCTTTGCCCAGAATTTCAGCTGCTTTGCTGAAAATAATTGAGAAAGGCAGCTATAAATGCTTTCCACTTTGCAGTTTCACAGAAGCTTTTTTTGACTTAGAGAGCCCAGGGAGACAAGTCCCAGCAAGTCTGAGGTAATTCTGGTGTGACTTTCATTGCACTGGCTGCCCACAAAGCTAAATGCTGCGGTATCTGGTACCTGATTAATCCATGAAGAGGATTACACGATGTGGCTGCAAGGCTGCAACCCAGATCAGTCCTACATCCTCCTCGTCTTCCTCCTCCTTTTCCTTCTCCTCTCGAGCCTCTCTGGAAGTATCCCAGCCTCTGGTGTGAAAGATAGAAAGCTCAGCCTGGTGTTTGGTATAAGAATACATATGGATATAAATATACATAAAATACAGGTGGTGTAGCCAAACTGGGGGTTTTCTTCCTGCCTCCAACCAAGGGGTACAGGTTGAAAGGACTGCCTGTACCTGCACTTCTCTCTCCACAATAAAGACCTGTTGGAACAGGGTCAAAACAGGCACAAAGATGCTCCGAGGGCTGGAAGCCCTTTGCTCCAGGCTGGGAGAGCTAGGGGTGGTCACCTGGAGAAGGTTCCAGGGAGAGCTCAGAGCCCCTTGCAGGGCCTGAAGGGGCTCCAGGAGAGCTGGAGAGGGACTGGGGACAAGGGATGGAGGGACAGGACACAAGGAATGGCTTTAAACTGGGAAAGGGAAGATTTAAGTTGGATATTGGGAAGAAATTCTTGTCTCTGAGGGTGAGGCCCTGGCACAGAGCAGCTGTGGCTGCCTCTGGAACCCTGGAAGTGTCCCAAGCCAGGCTGGACGGGGCTTGGAGCACCGTGGGGTATGGAAGGTGTCCCTGCCACGGCAGAGGGTGGAATGGGATGGGATTTAAGCTCCCTTAAACCCAAACCACTCTGATATTCCGTAAACCCCGGACGCGGCAGGCACAGGGCCGCGGGAGGGCAGCGCCCTGTACCAGCCCCAGGGCAGCGGCTCCCGGAGCGGGGCCGAGCCTGAAGCGGGGCCGGGCCGGGCTGGGAGCGGGGCTGAGCCTG